ACGTTAAGTCATAATTCACTAAAAAATTAAGTCAGTGAATGTGGAATTGAGGAAAAGTTGTGGAATTAATTGTTAGCTTTTTTTGAGACAGAAAGCAGACGGTGAGAATAGAGGACAGTTATTCAGAGTGGCAGTAGGTGGAAAGGAGTGTTCAACAAAGATCAGAGCTGGGATCAGTGCAGTTCAAATTTACATTAAAAATTTGGATGGTGGAATCAACAGCACAATTTCTAAATTTGTGGCAGATACCAGACTCGAGTGATTAATATGCTCCTGTATCTTGTTAAAGTCTTTAAGTTCTGCAATTTGTTGCAATCTTCAATATCAAGGAAGTCATGACATTAAAAAATTTCTACATGAGGCAGTACAACTTGATAGGGAGAATGGAGGGGTTCATTTATTACTCAGAAAGTGCCAGTCTAAATGGGGGTAGAAAAACAAAGCGATCTCAAAATGCAAATATGTCAATCACAAAAGATATGCCACACATTGTAAGGCCATAACAATACAAACAAAACTCTGGACTTTATTTCTAGAGGGATAGAATTGAAAAATAGGAAAGTTATGCGAGACTTATGTCAATCAGACTGTGGTTAGATTGCACTTATATTACTGCTTCCAGTTCTGTTCATCATATTATAAAAACGGCAGAGAGGTGGTGGGAAGGGTGCAGACATTTACAAAGATGAAACCAGAAATGTTTGAGCACACATACCTAGTAGAGATTGACAGACAGGGTCTCAGCTCACGTTAAAAATAAGAAAAAGAAGGCTGAGGGATGACCTAATCATGGTCTTCAAAATTATGACAAGTTTCGATAGAATAGATGCAGAACTAATATTTCCTCTTGTGGCAAAGAAGATAACTAGAGATCATCAATATGAGATAATCACCAATGAATGAGAAATTCAGAAGAAACTTTAATTCACGAGAATGTGGAACTGACTACATCGGGAACTGTTGAAGTAAATAGTATAGAATTGCTGAAAAAAGGATAAATTTTGTCAAAGTATTTCATCTGGCACTCACCAGGACAATTTGCAAGAATACCAAAGTAAATGGAAAACAAACTTTATATGGTATGAGAAAACAGCACTGACTGATTAACAAGTGGACTCTGATTGGTAGGGGTGTTGCCATGGAGAATACACCAGTTAATAATGACTGGTAGTTAACTGCCAAGCTTTGTTTAAATCTTAAACCAGGAAGGTTGACTATGATTTGTAAAAGCATTGCCCTGAGAAATGATGATTGCTGTCACTTATTCTACACAGTTGAAACAGGTGCTATGTGAAACAGAGCCCTGCAAAGAACAGGGCCCTGTATATTAATATACATAGCTTCCAGTATACACATGTGCACCACACTGTGAATCTGACTGACAATCCTTAATTGATTATCAGCATAATTCATGGGACACTCAGGATCATTTCACACAGATGATTTAGAACACATTATTTAAGGAGAAACTAAGCAAGAGTATAAGCAAGGAGTAACAGGTGATTATGTTGGGAGAATTAAATGAAAAGGTGGCAGGAGGAGAGTTTTGTAGTGTAGTGGTAGTATCCTTTGAGCCAGGAGGCCTGGGTTCAAGTCCCACCTGTTCCAGAGGTCTGTAATAACATCTCTGACAGGCTGACTGGAAAATAAGTTAAATAAATCTAGAAAAAAAGACAAGTGGAAGGAGGCTTGTGTGGATCGTAAACACTGGAATGAAGTGGTTGGGCTTAATGGCATATTTTGATACTCTATATTCTATACAATCCTACTTAAACTTAAGATCTGTCTGCCCTCTCAAAAAGACTTAAAAGATCCCATGGCACTATTTCTAATAAGTATGTGGAAGAAGAACGTTCTTTCTGCCTCCCTTCCTTTTAGAATAAATGTGTTTCATTTGCTATCTGTCTGCAAAATGAGACTCCCTGAATCAAGGTAGTTGTGGAAAATTTAAACCAATGTATCAACAATCTCATCAGCCACTTCTCTGATGAGCGTAGAATGAAATCAATCAGGACCTGGACTCTTGTCAACCTGCAGGTCAGCACTTTGGTTAGGCCACACCTGGAGTATTGTATGCAAGTCTGGTCACCACACATTGTAGAGGAGAGGAGGTACAAAGGAGATTCACCAGGATGTTGCCTAGGATGGAACATTTGGCTGGATAAGCTTGGGTTGTATTTTTACAGCAGAGAAGTTTGAGTGGATATCTGATAGAGGTGTATAAGATTATAATGGGCATGGCTAGAGTAACTAAAAAGCAGCTATTCCCCTTAATCAAATGGCCAATAACAAGAGGACATAATTTTAAAATGAAAAGCAGGAAAAGCTTTTTCTCCCAGAGGGTGATGGAAATCTGGAATGCACTGCCTGGGACGGTAGTGAGGAAGCCACAGACCTTTAAATAGTACTTGGATGAACACTTGAAGTGTAATAACATTGAATACTAGAGTCCCAGTGATGAAAAATGCAACAAATATAGATAGTAGTGTATTTTTGACTTAATACTGACTTGATGTGCCAAAGAGCCTCTTCTGTGCTGTATGATACGCTGATCTGCAGCTCAAACAATTTACTCAGTAACCACTTCTCTGGTGATTCTAATTGTTTTCTGAGTTCAACATTTCCTTCCATTTGTGATGTATAGTTGCTTTTTAGATATTAATTGTATCATCAATAGTGAAGACCAATGTAAAATGCATGTTCCATTCATTTGTCATGTCCCTATTTTTGTTAATTTCCCATGTACACTTTCTATAGGACTAACACTCACTTTGTTATCTCATTTTAAAATATTTGTCAAAGCTCTTACTATCTGTTTTTATACTTCTGTCTAGCTTTCTCTTCTACTCTATATTTTCTTATACAGTGGTCAAGAAAAGTGCAACAAATACAACTTTTTATTTTGGCAGTGATGGTATAGATATTTGGAAGGTGAGTACATCAGCAACAATGTAATAGCGGCATAAAGCTAAGAACTAACTGGTAGAACCAAAGTCCATCTAGATTGAATGAAGTGATAGCAAGAGACCTTTCGCTCTATTGTGGTGACATTGCAGACAACCAAATAGCCTATGTTTGTGTGCAGGAAAACATATGAAATGTGAAAAATATCAATATAATGAGAAGCAGCAAGGAAAATAAACCAGCAGAGAGAATAGCATGTGGATATAGGAGGGGACAACTTTTTTAAATGGTATGTGTAGGACTCTTTTCTGATCCTTAACCTAATGGGGAAGGGAACACCTTTAAACTTGCTAATGGCAAATGACTTGGCGCAAATAAGGGAAGTGTGGGAGAATTCTGATGGAGAAGTAATCATAATTTAATGTGATTTAATATCTTTGATTTATCTGCGACAGATGGTATAAAAGACCAAGGTAATAGATTCTTTTTTTAAAACAGCCATCTGAGGGAATGAGGTAAGCAAGATAAACTGAACAAAAACATCGACAGTCAAAGAACAGTGAGCATATTTCAAGCAGGGTGGGAAATATACCCCATTAAAATGAACATACAAGTCAAAACTGAGATTGTATGGCAAAATAAGGAGATGGTAAGAAGAAAGAAATAAAGGAGAAGATATTTGGAAAGTTCTTAAATTATGAAGAAAAATGTCAAAATAAACTAAAATAACTTTGGGAAGGAAGTTAAAAGACAATTAGGAAGACAATGCAAAAAGATGAAATATACAGGATCAAAGAAAATAAATAGAAATAGCAATTTATTCCATTAACACACCAATAACAAATGAACACTTGGGATTGGTAGGAGCCACTGACAAAACTCGACAAATGATACTGAAATAACGAATAGATTTAAAAGAATCTTTTTTTTTTAATGATACAACGATTATTTCCGATTCCTTTATTTCCTTTGATTTTTAAAAAAAATACTTGATTTTCACTTCTGTTTTGAAGGACACTGCCCTGAATTTTAAGCGGTCTTTTTCACTCTGTCGATACAGACTGTTCTCAGTGTGCATGCTCGATTTAAACATTTTCAAGTTTTGTTTTTGTTTTACATTGTAAGAAGGTTCTGAAGAAATACACCAAGTCCTACTCCATAACGTAATTACGGAGTTAAACAAAACGAGCAGCAGAGAAAGTAACTCTTCAAATCCAGATCAAATAAAAATCTGGATGAAATCCTGAACGCTCATTAATAGAATCCTGCTGAGAAGTCGCTGTTTTAGGCATTTGCTGTATGTTTATGCACAGATTGTTTACCCTTGACACGCTGATGATACAAACCACAAATACCTCGCGGAACTTGGCAAGGGCTAACCTCGGGCAGTAAAGCTCAGCTCCTATGTACTTGTGGTTGGTGTTACCTTCCAAGGCATTGCAGTGAGCAACGAAAATCAGTAAGTTCAATTACGTTCTAAAATCGCACACCTCATCTGACAAGTTTCCTGCATGGCTGAACACTTTGGCATGTTGATAGCTGCCTGAATTTGGGGAGGAAGGCTAAAATTCACGTTTCAGTGTTCGTTATAAAGAGTTTTTTTTTATCACAAGAACTGAGAAATTTGGACGCGCCCAACACAAACGACGGAAAACCTATAAACTATGTGAGTATTTCACATGTGCATATATGCATTCGCATATGGGTAGACATGGAGAAAGAAGTATACAAAAAACCCAACTTGATTTACAACTAAAATAAAACAAAATTAATGTACAATTACTTCCTTCATTTGAGTGGCAACATCGATAGCTGTAGAGTCTGATGTCCGAAAAACAATGCATCGTTACGTTCTTAAAGTGTTATATAATAAAATATTTATTTTAGTCTTTTGAGAAGAATTCGTAACTACAGACTACTGGAGACAGAAAGAAAGATTCTCGACGTGTTCAGTGTTATCTAGTACTTTCCCTGCCAAGAAAAAGTGTAAGGAAATTTAATTTCAGTTGATTGACAGTGTCTATGGAAACGGCCAGGTCTTAATCCGTCTGGACCCGCCCTCTGGTGTAGTTTGACCAATCATTTGGGAAGAGAACGACCCGAATCTGCTACAGACTGGGTCGCCGTCACGTTGAAAACACACAGAGCCATCCCGGGAGATAGCTTTCTGCATGAGGGGTAAAAACCTTGATCGGCAGGATCCAGCCGAAAAGACAAGTCTTTGGGCCACAAGGAGCAGAAAGAGGAAGGGAAGGGGAGGGGAGGGGGGAAATTGGGAGAAAAAAAGAGAAACATGTCTTCCGCTTCAAACGAAATCACGAATACAATTGAGATTAAAGAAGAAAACGACAGCTTGCAACCAAAGATCAACAACACACTGGGTTCTCCAGCCACTCTGGAGCCTGAAGTGAGTGCACTTTCTACAAGCCCGGAGATTTCCGATCAGGTACCCGTGGAATTGTTGACCAACCCCGCCGCGGCGCTGACTTTTTCGCCGGAGCAAGTGGCGTGTGTGTGCGAGGCTTTGCAACAAGGAGGGAACCTGGATCGCTTAGCCCAGTTCTTGTGGTCCCTGCCTCCCAGCGATCTGCTACGTGGCAACGAAAGCATCCTGAAAGCTCGGGCTCTGGTGGCTTTCCACCAGAGTCGCTACAAAGAGCTGTACAGCATTCTGGAGAGTCATAACTTCGACTCGTCCTGCCACACTTCGCTGCAGGATCTGTGGTACAAAGCCCGGTACACAGAAGCCGAGAAAGTCCGCGGCCGGCCCCTGGGGGCTGTGGATAAGTACAGGCTGCGGAGGAAATTCCCCTTGCCCAGGACCATATGGGACGGCGAGGAGAGGGTCTACTGCTTCAAGGAGAAATCGCGGAACGCGCTCAAAGAGTTGTACAAGCAGAATCGCTACCCATCGCCGGCCGAGAAGCGGAATCTGGCCAAGATCACAGGGCTTTCCCTCACCCAGGTCAGCAACTGGTTCAAAAACAGGCGCCAGCGAGACCGCAATCCATCGGAAAACCAGTCGAAAAGGTGAGGCGCCCAAACTTCCCAAGTCTTCTGTTTCCCGAGGGCGCTTCCTAATGCCACAAAATGGCGCTTATCTAGTCCTTTATTTCCTTCTTTAAAGTTACAGTGGATCATGAGGCATCGTAGAGGCTTTTTTTTTGTCTCGTTTTTCCTCCACCACCCCCCTTCTCTCACAGGGTCAGTGGTCCGTCTGCTGCTGTTTCGGGAGGGGGAGGAGGATCCATGGTGGGGGGGGGGGATATAGTTTTCTTTTGAAACGAGATTGAAGAGCAGTTTCACAGTTCTTTTGAAGGATTATTTTTACATTTATTCAAAAAAAAGAACCTTCTAGCACTTATGCCGGTGAGTGTGAGGGGAGCGATGCCTTTTTTTTGGATTTCTTTCAGTTGCTTTGCAGCATGGCCGTACACTCGCTTTGTTTTGAAACTTGAGTCTTTCCCATTCAGCTCGAATTTCAGCGGAGTTCACTTCACCAAAGCAAAGTTTGCTCCTATTCTTTCTCCCAACCCCCTCTTGGCCATATCTCACACGCACAAATGCTGTTGGTGGATTCCCTTCAGGTCTGGGATGAGGAAGAACTGGATTCTTTCTCTCTCCCTTATTTTTTTAAAGAAAGTCCGCGGTGGATTTACTTGTTTGTCCTGTGCCATAAAGGTACTTAAATGCTTTGTGCTTAAAGGGGGAGTGCGCACCTGGTGGAGGTAGTGTCGAGCGACAAGCTGGAACTGTACTCATTTCAAATGGTGATGTAAGAAACTGCTGCAGGGCATTTATAAAGTAAACGAGGTGAAGGACGCCTTTGTACTTGGCCAGCGCACCATGCAGTTGTAAAGGAAAAGTCAGATTCCACAAATAGAACTAATGTTTCTGACTCATGGGCCATTCTTGTCTCCTGTTTTAAATATGATTTTTTTTTGAAAGGGGGCACCTTCAAACAAACCAGACGCATACCATTTATAATTCTGCTAATAATGAATTTGTTGCAACTTTGAGTGCAATCCCTAAAGGTCAGAGAGGGTTCTAGGAGTAGGTCCGGTCGAGATGGCGGGAGAAAGGCACCCCTGGAGCAAGCTGAGCGCTTAAGATAATCGAACATGCCATTTGCAGTTAAAATTCAAATTCCATGTTCACACCTCTGGCAGGGGTGGGGGTTAGTGTGGTGGGGAGGGGAAGTCGCTGGCTAAAGAAAAATCGAGATCCAACATGATCAGTCACCTTTGTAATTGTATTTTAAAACATGCAATCTATTTACAAAACACAAGCGATGTCTAACAGCTAGCCAAAAAGAAAGCTGCGAATCTGTAATAAAACCAGATATTGCTGAAAATACACAAGTAGCCAGCAAGTACCTCTACAGAGAAAAAATGTATTAATGTTCAAAGGTATCATCACACCTTGACACGAGTAATCTTCAAACAGTAAGGAAGTTTAGTTAATTGCAAACCCCTGTACCTCTTTAGATTAACGCACAAGATGGATGTTCTACTTTGCACAACACAACCACATATATACTAAGTAATATTGCTCCCAAATCTTGCAGAGAAGGGAACAACCAATGTAATGGACAACCGGAAAGGCAAAATCAGACCGGCGTTTCACTCCAAATAAATTTCTGCACTTCTTTGAATATAAAAATAATAACTAGAGATTTTTCTTTTAAAAAAAAACAACTTTCCAATAAGTTATCTGATACATTAAGAAATTTGAATTAACTTGTAGTTTTGGGAGGTCAGAGGTTTTTTTTGGGCAAAGCCTAGGAATTGATTAGGGCCTCCACATTATTTGAACATAAGGGTAACTTATTTATTTTAAGTGGAGAGAAAGCAAAGTCAACGATTTGGGTCCAGTGACCCTTCTGCCAGACCTGCTGAGTTTTTCTGTTTTTGTTTCTGATTTCCAGCATCTACAGTTCTTTATTTTTTTTTAAGTGAGTTCATAACTCCACAAAAGTAGCTGAAAAGCAATGTCATATGAAAATGTACAACCAATTCCAACACTGAATTAAATTTTACATTGTGGCTGAAAAATAAGTGGGTATACAAATTATTGTAATACTAAATGGCACTTGCAGGTTTTGATACAAGAGGGATGGTAGTCATTATATAATAGTTTAGCATATAAAGAGGCCATTCATCCCATGAAGCCTGCATTGAATTTTTCAAAGAGAAATAAAGATAGTCTGCATATCACTATTATTGTTTCCTTCTTTATCCAATCCTGTTTTGATGGCTACCATTGAATTTGTATCCAACAACCTATTAAGAAGTCCTTTCAAAAGTGTAACCACTCATTGATTGATTGTTTTTTAAAGTGCTTCTGGTATTTTGTTGTCAGTCACGTTAAATCTGTGTTGTCTGATTATCAGCTTTTCAGCCTTTGGAATTAATTTTTAGAATATAAACATTACATTATTTTTAAAAATACTTACCAAATTCTTCCTCTTAGGCTTCTATGCCATAAACATATCAATATTTCTATAATTCCCCCTAACTCTGAAACTATTCTAGTAAGCCATTGCTGTAGCCTCTTCAAAGACTTGGTGTCCTTCCTAAAACATGATCCTCAAAATTATACTCAATAATGTAGGTGAGGCTGAACAAGTGTCTTATGAAGACTGAGTTCTGATCTCCTTGGCTTTGCACCCTCTGCCTCTATTTA